GAGAGAGAGAGACCTAATATGGCGCAATGGACAGTCGCACACGACCGCCACTGCCGGTGCGACAAAGGCCCACCTGAGTTACGAGTTTGTTTATGTTTTCTGCGGCGGCGGTATTGTGACGTCACTGGTTCGCGTCCGTACGCGCGACGCCCCGCCGCCGCCGTCGCCGCCACCAGGCCGGGCGCTGGCACTCCCCGGCGCCGCTGGCGCTGAGGCCGACAGGAACGAGCCGACGCCGCGTCACTATCCGTACGCGACGAATGCAAACAAGGTGTCGCGGGGCGCCTCGGGCCCACCGGCCGAGAGCCGACGCCCGGCCACCAGTGCTGTTGACACGAGCCGGCGTTTGCGCCCGCGCGACGGCTCGGTCGCGGACAATCGTGGACGGCAGGTCGGCAACAGGAAGTCGCGGTCGTGACGGCTTGTTTTACGACGCACTTGGCTCTCCGCGGCGCCGCCCGTGTCAACGTGTCCGCCTGCAAGCCACGCCGCGCACGTGCCATGACACGCTCGCCGACGCCTGAAGTGAATACTCCCATAGCACTCCTGCTCCCCTGGACTTGCATGCTGAACACATGGGCATGGGCTGACTGTATGGACGACCTCTCGACGACGTACCGCATGGATGACCTCGCTGGTCAGTCTTCCTCCCGCTCCCAAAGGCATCCCTTCAACAGAGGATGAAAGGGAGGTGTGCTGTAGCAATGGCCATAACAGAGGCATGTGGTGCCATGGCCATGAAGCAGTTGTTGGGCACCATAATGACGCATTGTGTGATGTATCTCGTCATTGAAATCCAGCGACACGATGTGCGCTTAGAATGAGGCCGGACAGCCTGGGCCGCTGTATCTGGGACAGACTACAGCCAGACATGTTCATCACAAACGAATGCATTTATTATGCACGCTGTCCGGTGGCAAACGACTATAAACAGAGTTTGCGATATCCCGTGAGACGCGTGTAAACGGCCTTGTCATGTGTTTGAACACCACTTAACAGTGTCCTG